TGTTGTTTGGCGGGTCCTGGCTGGGGATTCGAACCCGCCACCTTAGGTGTACGTGGCTGGCGCCTTAGCCGGTTGAGCTATAGGCGCCGAGCCGAAAGATACAGTATTTGGCCTTTGAACCTTGTTTCTTTGATTTAGCATGATACATTTGAGATTTATCCGTGTTGATGAGTGTATCAGCATTTCCTTCTGTTTCATTGCTCAATATAGTAGTCCTTTGTATGGATGTATCACCATTTGTTTATCTGTTTACCAGCAGAAGGATGTTGGAGTCAGTTTCAGGGTTTTATGACTATGAGTAAAGCTGCTTTACCAATAGGTGTATGCCTGACTTTATTTTTAAAAAAAAAAATCTGTGGTAAACAGAATAATGACCCTCAAAGATGTTCTAATCCCTGGAATTTGTGAATATGTTTGGTTACATAGCAGAGGTATGGCTAATCAGCTGACTTTAAAATCGGGAGATTATCCTGGATTATTCAGTTGGTTCCAGTGTATTTCAAGAATCTTTAAAAAGGGAAAGAGAGGTACTAGTTTGTAGTCTCACCAAGAATGTATGAGTTCCTTTCTTTCTGCCAGCATCTGTTGTTTGGGACTTTTAAATAGGAGGTATTCTCATTGGAATTAGGAGATAATCTCAGTGTGGTTTTGATTTGCATTTCCCTAATTAGAGCACGGTTCTCAACCTGTGGGTCGCAACCCACAGGAACTGTATTAAAGGGCTGCGGCATTAGGAAGGTTGAGAAGTACTGTATTAGAGCATTTTTTCATGAGTTTGTTGGTCATCATTATATCCTCATTTGAAAAGTTTGTTCGTATCTTTTACCCACTCTTTTCTATGGGGTGGTTTGGCTGTTTCTTGCTGATTTCCTTGAGTCCTTTGTAGATTCTGGTTATCAGTCTTTTATCAGATGTATATGTGCGTGGCATGCAAATATTTTCTCCCATTCTGTGGCTTATGTGTTTGCTCTTTTGATTGTGGTCTTGGCTGTGCAAAAGCTTTTTAATTTGATTAGGTACCATTTATTTATTTATGTTCTTGCTGTGATTGCTTTTGGGGTTGTCTTCATAAATTCTTTGCAATAAACCAATATCTGTAAGAGTTTTTTGACATTTTCTTCTAGAATTCTTATAGTTTCCTGCCTTAGATTTAAGTCTTTTTGTCCATTGTGAGTTAATTTTTTGAGTGAT